GAACTCCCCATGATTTTCTGCGCTTGGGGTTATCGTAATGAACCCATTTTTCGTCCCCAGTTACAATGCGATGCAGAAATCCCATCCGTCTTTGCTTTTCAAGCAGCTGTTCACAAGCAAACAAACGCCATTCAACATCTCTCGGCTTCAACTCGTACGGCACCCAATTTCCTCGCTTTTGAATCATTCCCATGGCTTTGAGGCGTTTTGAAATGGCTTGTTGAGTCACTCCCAATGATCGTGCCAATTCTTCTTGATTTTGACACGACTCTTGATCAAGTAATGCCTCCAATTCTGCATCTTCGAAAACCTTCTCTCTTCCACCGCTATGCCGGTCAAAATCACCGTTCTTGAAGCGTTGGAACCACTCACGACACGTTCTTTCACTAATAGCGGCCTTACCATAAGTATTTGAGAGCATTCGATGAGCCTCAGCTGCAGATTTCTTCATATTGAAGCAGAAAATTAAAACCTCCCGCAAATGACGAGAATTTGACTCGAAAACTGACATTTTCAATCGAGAATAACTTTATGATGCAGACACATAAATAAATCGACTAATGTTTTTATGGAGTTATGTTGATAGATGCCCAAGTTTATTGTATGACGTCTATGATCTATTTATTTCGACCATCACTTACCGCTAAAGCCATCTACAGGAAAACGGCGGAAGCAAAGTTGTATACCTAATAATATTTTACATATTTTCTCCTTACAATGACTTTATTAGTATATACTTACAATCTATGAGGCATTCCACGTCAAACCTTTGAAACATAGTCATTTTGTTTTTTTTTAATTTGTTAACATATTCCACAGTTGAAAATATGAGACACATGTTTCGTGAAAAAATGTGAGATTTTTTGTGAAGTTATTGACGCTGGTAAGTTGCAGAAATTAAAAAAAAAACATCGCTCATGCAAATATTCAAATTATTATATCGTCGAAACCATTAGTCATACAAAAAAATGCAAGAGATCGATTTTAAAGATCGTAAATTGTTCCGGATGGGTTATTTTTAATTTATCATTTTCATATAAATAAACCATTTTCTATTTGTTTACAATTTTTATGAACATTTTTTATCATGAACTTATCAATTTAAAAATATGGTTAAAATATCATTATATTTTCATTTCAATTATGAAGTAACCTCGAAAATTTCAAAATGAAACTCGAAATACTCGAATGGACTGTATAGTTAAAAACTTCCAAGTTCCATTTTGAAATTGTCAAGATTATTTCATAATTGAAATGGAAATACAATATTTTTATAAAATTTTTTAATTAATAATTGATGAAAAATGTAGATATATAAAAATTGTAAACAAATAGAAAATGATTTATTTAAATAAAAATGATATATTAAAAATAATCTATTCATAGAACAATTTAAAATCGGACTTTTAATCTCGGAAAATTTTGCATTTCTTTTGTACAACTAATGGTTTCAATGTATAATAATTTGAATGTTCGCATGAGCGACGTATTTTACAAATTTCTGCAATTCACAGGCATCAATAACTTCACAAAAAAAAAACATTTTTTTCGCGAAACACATGTCTCATATTTGTTATGTGTCATCTTTTATCTGTATAATACGTTAGCAAATTTAAGAAAATGACAATGTTTCAAAGGTGCCCGGTTTGACGTGAAATGCCTCATAGATTGTAAGTATGTATTAATAAAGTCATTTTAAAGAGAAAACAAGTATATTATTAACTTACTTTCAATTGTACAAATTAGTACAAATTCAGTTGTGTTAATTTTAACCTTGTGTTGTTTTTTTTATGGTCCTGCCAGTTTAAATATTAAATTAGCAACGCAATTGTTTTCTTGGAAATGATACATAATTTAGAATTGTTTTTGGCAGTACAAAATAGTACAAATTCAATCCTATTGATTTCTGATATTATTTTTCTTTTTTTCTTCTATTTTAAATTGGTCTTGTCAGCTTAATATTAAGTTAGTACCGCCACAATTTTTTTTAAATGGCACACGGTACAAAATTATCATTAATAGTACAAAATTTAGTACAAAATGAGTACTAAAAATTCCAATAAGTCCGACGTAATTCTGCTGATTTAATTCTGTTAGCTTTATAGAACTGATTCTCTGGTATGTAGTCGTTACAATAAGTACACACTAAAAATAAACACAAATATTAAGCAATATTTCCATTCAAACACATTTTCCTTTTTTTTCTCCCATCTCCTTCATTCGGATTTTCAGTTACATCCCCAATCTAATGCTCTTTTTCTCTGTTCTTCTTTCTCTCTTATTCCCGCACATGCGCACTCAGTCAGTAGCCATAAACTACTAGTATCCGACGCACGCTGAGGTTATTGGTTTTTTCAAAGGGCTTGACAGTGCCTATACGTGCTGCTGTATGATGTACCTACATCTTACACTCATGAATTTTATTCTTCAAAGAAAAATATGTCTGAATTATTTCAAAATTCACGTAAATTTTTATCAACGTGTCTTATGATATAAGCGGATACTTCATAATATAAGGGTAATGTTAATACTCTCATCAGTAGCAGCGTGAATTAGGCGCTCAATTTTAAATACATAATAGTTTTAAACATAGTTTGTATTCTATTTTAATCATATCACTTCTTATATCATTTGCTTTTGCTTTCAAAGAATAAAAAACTAAGAAGATTCAATAAGATTTTGCGCGCCTACAAGAGTAAGTATAAAATATTTCAACTAAATGAAGAAAAATCTCTATCTAAAGGATGTATGGCTATATGAGAAACACATACATGCATATAACAGATTACGTATACCAGGTATGTAAATATGAAACCGGAATTTACCAATAAATGGCCATAGCTGTCAATGTAGTTGCCGTCAGACCGTGTCATTGACGCCATTTCCTTGTTCTGATATCTGACAAAGATTTTCAACTCACAACAATACAAGTTTCATACAACAATATAGTTTGTAATAGCGTTGAATATGTCGAATTTTGTGCTTGGAAACTACGATTTGCGGACAGCATTGATTTTCTGTTACCATTTGAAGAAAACTGCTGCAGAATCGCATCGAGTGCTTATCGAAGCTTACGGTGAGCATGCTCTTGGTAAATCACAGCTTTGAGTGGTTTAAAAAATTCAAAAGTGGCGATTTTGACGTGAGAAACGAAGAACATGGAAAACCACCGAAAAAGTTTGAAGACAGCGAATTGTAAGCATTGTTGGATGAGGACGACGCTCAAACTGAACAACAACTCGCGGATCAATTGAATGTGATACGAGAAGCCGTCTCCATACGTTTGAAATCCATGGGAAAGATCCAGAAGATAGGAAAATGGGTTCCACATGAACTGAATGAAAGACAGCAGGAAAACCGAAAAACCACTTGTGAAATACTGCTCGCCAGGTACAAAAGAAAGTCATTTCTCCATCGAATTGTGACTGGCGATGAAAAGTGGATATATTTTGAGAATCCTAAGCGTAAAAGATCATGGGTAACTCCAGGCGAACCATCGACATCGACTACAAGGCCAAATTGCTATGGACGGAAGACAATGCACTGTGTTTGGTGGGATCAGAAAGGTGTGATCTATTATGAGCTGCTAAAACCTGGCGAAACCGTTAATATTGAACGCTATCGACAACAAATGATCAATTTGAATCAAGCTTTGCGTGAAAAACGACCGGAATATCAAAAAAGGCAACACAAAGTGATTTTGCTTCATGATAATGCACCATCACACACAGCAAAACTGGTCAAGGAAACGATTGAGGCGTTTGGTTGGGAAATACTTTCGCATGCGGCTTATTCACCAGACTTGGCTCTGTCCGATTACTACTTATTTGCATCGATGGGACACGCACTTGCTCAGCAGCGCTTCACTTCTTACGAAGATGTACGAAAATGGCTAGGTGACTGGTTTGGCTCAAAAGAGCAACAATTTTTTTGGCGTGGCATCCACAAATTGTCAGACAGGTGAGAAAAATGTATAGCTAGCGATGGGCAATACTTCGAATAAAATATTTTTTATCATTTTCATGCAATAAACGTGTATTTTCTATTAAAAAATTCCGGTTTCATATTTACATACCTGGTATAACAATTTAAACACAATTTAGGAAACATTAAAAAATTCTACAAAAATATTTAAACAAACATTTCTGTATTATTATAGCGTGTGCCATATTCGATTTTCATGGTAGTCAATGTAGTCTCAACAGTGCACGACGCAGAAAGAAAATATTTTCAGACTTCATGTTTATGTAAATTTTATTCTTTTATCGTGTACCATTTTTAAAGCATATTTTAGTTACACAGGTTCAATAATACTAATTTTGAAAATAATAATTACAAAAATATAACATTTAAACATTAAACGATTTTTTTATATTTTCTATACCTTCCTATCATCGTTTATGTGAACTTTACAGAGAGAAAGAGCTTCTATTAAGAAAACGTAGATATACACAGATCAATGCTAAAAACTTTATTATAGATTATAACGAGTTTAACAAAATAATATATTCCTGTAAAAATATTTATAGAAAATTTTCTAAATTTTATTTTGTTATGATATTTAACAAGTTACATACTTTTTTAGTAATAAAATCAATGCATTTGTCGCGAAAAGATTAAATACTTATTTTTTTTAATCTGCAACTAAATAATAATAAAATATAATAACGATAAATTATACTGTATTATCATGTATTAGAATTTGGAAAACTATAATACATTCATATGTTTTAATATGTGATTTCTGAATTTTTGCAGCGTGTTTTTCACTATACCACCATTGTTCTTTTTGGCAAGCGTTCGGTACCATCGTCGTTGCTACCTACGAACGCAACAGCAAATGAAGAACCGCGAATGACGACCAGTTTTACGTACTTGTCTCCGCTCTAATTCAATTACGCCATCCGGTACAATCTCTCCGTCTACTCGATAGCGTATTTATATAGCCACGTGAATAATCTACATTTTTCCACCATTCGCTCTCTTTTCCTTATTCTCACCTTCGCGATAGGTGTCATCCGCGTAACATCCGTGTAAAATCTGGTCATGATTCATGAATGATTCCACCGAATTGACCCCTACCTTCATCGTCGATTCGTTTTTATCCAATTTCATATACATCGCATGTTATCAAAGCTATTCTTTTCTATCAGACACGTTGTTAAATAATTAGTCGCTCTTCAGTATGATATCGGTTTTCTGGAGCATTAAAACTTGTATTTTATGCTTAATTTATTTTTCAACTGTTATGTCGAACCTGGAACGTAAACATAGATAATCGATATTATACACAAAATATTTCATTCAAATAAAATAATAAATAACAATAAAATTAAGGCTAATGAGAATCAGTGCGGGAATAGGTGCGCATAGGTATTAATTCATGTAAAATATTTCAATTTGATAGATAATGTGCAGCTTTATTCTGAAATCTTGAACATTTCCACTCTCTTCGGAGTTGATTATGTATAACTTGCTGATAATGACTCCAAAGAGAGTGGAAACGTTCAAAATTTCGGAATAAAGTTGCACATCATCTATCAAATTAAAGTATTTTACATGAATTAATACCTCTGCGCACCTATTCCCGCGCTGACTTTCATTAACCTTAATGTTATTGTTATTTAATTCGAATCATAAGGAGCATTTAGCCACTAACGCCAGGTGTTTTTTGCAAAAGTCATATATTTTACAATGATAGAAATTTGGTAAACGTTTCGGTCAAAATTTGACCATCTTCAATACAATCATATAAAAAAAAATGTCGGTATAATACATTAAAAAGGTTTTATAAGATTATTTAATAAATAAACATTTGATAGATATTCCCTATAACAGGGCGAAAGTTAGAAATATGTGTCTTTTATCAAGACCGAGTTCATCCACGAAATACAAATTTTTAAGATTAAACGATCGTCAACGCAAATTTATTTCCGTCATCGATGTGGTGTTAATTGAACATATATTAATGTGTTTTGCAATACAAAATATGAGTAGTTTACTATTGTGCATCATTTTATTGATGCAAGAGCCAATGTTGCGATTTAAAAGAATTGAAAGAAACAGGATCGATATCGGTATCTGTAGATATTCATCCGTATGTCATGTTGAACTTCCGAGACGTGTTTTTATACGTGAGTTTCCAGACACTGTTAGAACATTATTTAAAAGACATTATCTTGTAATTATTACGTAATCGAAACCAGATTTAATTATGTTGATTATATTTATATAATAAATGAAATTGTATTCAAAATTTTTTTCAAAAACATACGTATAAATCCGAAGCACAAGACTGAACAGAGTGAGGTAAATATACAAATATGATAAGCAATTTCTTTGTTTCTAAGACTTGGAATATGTAAGCAAGACAACAGCTGACTAAATGTTCTCACAAACCGCGAAAGAAGCAGATATCACTTTAAGTACAAAAGATAAGAAGAGAGGGGAAAAAACCAAACCAGAGGGAATAGAAATTATTACTGGGTAGAGGAAGCTATGATTGGCAGATAAATCTCCGGAAATCGCTCTGTATCATTTTGCTTGTTTAAACTTACACTTTGTTTTTTTATGTGTATCATTTCTGAGATTGATCTTTTATAGTACATTTGCTCAGAGTCCATAATGACTGTATTGTTCCAATCCATCGTATGATTGAAATCCAACATGTGATGTGAAATGACAAACAAATTATTAAACGGTTTTTTATAATCATTTTTGTGTTCTTTCAGACGCGTCTTTAATTTTCTCTTTGTTTGACCAACTATTGTTGATGGTTAAGAACAAAAAATCAAGAGGATATCCGTTTTTTTAAAAAAGTATTAATTAAACAAGCAACATAAGTATGATCGCAATTCATACAATTAATTTTGTAAACCACATTCGACTTTTCGTCTTTTTTAATTTTGTCTTTGCTCGTTTTTATCGCAAAACTTAAATAATTAAGTGGTCTATAAGCAATGTTAAAATCATACTTCTTAGTGATAGTAGTGAATTTTTCGGAGATTTTGTTTAAGTAAGGGATGGTGAAGAATTTTTTAATTTTATTATCTGAATCAATGTTTTCGTTATATTTGTGTTCATTGATATTATCAAAATTTTCTTTAAAAGATAAAATTTTAATTCTATTGTTGATGGTTGAGAACACAAAATCAAGAGGATATCCGTTTTTTAAAAAAGTATTAATTAAACAAGCAATGTTTTTTTCGTGGAAAATAAGGTGCGATAAGAACAAAATTCTGTCAAACTGTCCAATCACAACACCCTTTTTATGTACTAAAGGGTGGTTTGAGTAAAAATTTAGATATCTGCCTGAATTTGTGGGTTTTTTGTAGTTAACATTTTGTTATTAAACATGATTCTGCCATCTTTTATTAGTATTTTAACATCAAGAAAACTAACTCCCTCAACATCGTCATGCTCAACAGTGAAATTTATCCTGTTGATATGAGTTGAAAGAATTCAGCACATCAATAATTCTGTCTTTAGATAATGCTATAATTGAATCATCTACATAGCGATGATAAAGAGGAACATGCATGTCAAGAGAATTAAAAATATTTGATTCCAAGTCCTGTATCACAACATCAGCTAAAATTGGAGAGAGTGGAGACCCCATGGGCAAATATCTGTTTAAAAAAAGTATTATTAAATTTGAAAAATGCAGAGTTTTGAATTAATGAAATGGCAGTTTTAAATTCATTCACAGGTATTTTTGTGTTAATACTTATGCAGTTTCATCTTCTTAAAATGCTGTTTAGAGCCAATTCATTAGGAATATTTGTATACATGGATTCAATGTCAAAGGATACTATTTTATAATTTTCTTCTAATTGTAAGCCGTTCGTTTTTTTAAATAGTTCAAAACTATCTTTAACATAACCAAAATTCCTTTTTAGACTTTTATCAATTATATCTTTAAGAAATACTGCCAAATTAAAAAATGGACTGTTTGTACAGCTAACGACCATTCTTAAAGGGTAGTCATCCTTATGAACCTTGACGAGCCCATACGATCTCGGACAATCACCGTCAGAAATATACATTTTTTTATACATTGGTTAGTCTATGTAGCCTTTTTGTCTCCAACGTGTTAGAAGTGTACAGATTTCCATCGTCATTTTGTTTTGTGGAATCTTTCTTAACAATTATATAAGTACTTTCGTCAGTTAAAATTTTGTTCATTTTTTTGTTGTATTCAGAGAGATTTAAAATTACGATGGAATTACCTTTGTCAGCCCGCGTAATTAAAATTTCGGGATGTTCAGACATAAACATGTTTAGTTCTTTAAAACCGCTTTTTATCAAGTTATTATTTGGATTATTCGGGTAACTGAATTGTATATTATTTAAAATAGGAACTGAGTCCTTTCTAATAGAATTTTTAGTGTTATCATCTAATTTCATGATGTTATTTTCTATGTGTTTTACGAATTATATTTTTATTTTTTCTGTATTAATAACATCATTAGGTAAGTTAAAACGTTGGCCCAATTGTAGGACGCACTTTATATTTTCAGGAATATGGAGATCAGTTGCTAAGGTTGATTAATCAGTTATTGTTTATATCATTAAAATTATAGTCAATATTAAAATCTTCAGGTTTTATGTTTATATTATGAGTAACAATTTTTTCGTTATTACGCAACACTTGAGATGTTGGTTATTTTTACCGGACAAAACATATTTTATGAGACATCCTCAGAAGGCTTTGTAATCGTGATGTTATAATTTATGTTTTTTATATTATTGTTATTTATTATTTTAAAGTTTGAGAGTCCAATTTAAATTATATTTTTTTGTTGTTTTATACAAAGCAATATTTTTTTGTGGTCAATGAATGGAGAAGAGAAATTTTACGTGTAAAGCAGTTTTTAGTTTTTTTTTATTTATACAGGGTGTTTGGAAATTAGTGATAAATCTTTCGCACAGGGGCAGAATGGACTAAACTGAGAAGAAAAGCCCTCTACCATTTAGTAATTTTCGCAATAGTTAACAAGATATTAATTGCCAAAAATTGTCGAAAATTGATCTTTAATTTTTTTTGGTCTCTAATACTATTAACTTTACAGAAAAACTGCAAGAGACGAAAATTGTTTATTTTCTTCTCATAGAACTCTATGAATTTTTTCAGAATTTTTTATCAACTTTTTAGCACTGCATTTTCTCATTTTTATCAAAATGGGAAAATACGGTTAAAAAATTCTGAAAACATTCTTAGAGTTCTATGAGAAGAAAATAAACAATTTTCTTCTCTTGCATTTTTTCTGTAAAGTTAATAGTATTTGTGTAAAAAATTATTGAAGATCAATTTTCGGCAATTTTTAGCAATTAATATCTTGTTAACTATTGCGAAAATTGCAAAATGGTAGAGGACTTTTCTTCTCAGTTTAGTCCATTTTGCCCCTGTGCGAAAGACTTATCACTAATTTCCAAACACCCTGTATATTTCAAAAAACTTATCAATTGGTATAAAACAAATGTATTATGTAAAAGTTTTAATTGTCTCTATTTAAATAATACTTTTATAAATAATTTTTTCAAAAATTCAAATTTTTCAAATTATTTTTAAAATGTATCATCAACGTACATAAATAAAGGTTTATTATTAAAACTATCGTATAAAATATTTTTTGATATCTCGAATAGTTTTTGAAACATAAAAAAGCTAAAAACTGCTTTACGTATAAAGGATGATCTCAGCCGCAATTAATATTTTTTTAATTCATCTATTTATGAACCTATTCTATAACCTACATATATACAAAGTTTAATTAAAATTTAACATTTCGAGATTATGTACCTTTGTTAGATACGAACTTCTAATATTTTAACTTGAAAACATAGAAGGAATTTTTAATCGATATATTTCGATTTCGCACTGAAATTATAAATTGAAAAAAGTTCTGGGCATATTTTTTATAATTAATGTTGCTTTTATAATTAATGTTGCAGAAGGAAAAAGTAATAGGTATCTATATAAAATTTCGTGTAGAAAACATTATCTGATTAACATTATCTATCTCAAAATTTTTTTAATAGAATCATTAATTTCTTTTATATAAATTGATTTATACATCCATTCTGCGTAGAAAAGAATTTAAATAAAATTGTCAAAGGATCATTACATATTTCAACAACATCAGGATGTTTACTGAAATCTTGTAAGACAATTTCCTGATAATTCTCGGATTTTTTCTAAGTATTTTTGTTCAAAATGCCAGATAAGATTAGAGGATTTTTTTACATCTTATAAGT